CCCCCACCCCCCCACTTGCTCTCACTAAGCCCCAAGCCCGGGCCAGCGGAGGGTCCCCCAGATCAGCACAGCCAGGGAAGCAGTAAAGGAGGAACAAGAGAGGAGCGCGTGCTGGACCCTCTGCTCTCCCCCAGCTGTGGCTGTGGTATCCCCTGAGCCGTCTGCTGGCCCCGGGCAGGCAGCCTCAGCCCCTCTGGGGCCTCGCGTGCCCACCGCAAGCCCCAGACCAGTGGGAAATGCAGCTTCGCACAAAAGTGGTGCACACGACTTCATCAGTTTGTCCTTCGCTGGTCTGATGAGATAACGAACAGAACGATGACGCATTGAAAACAGCGCAAGGACTCAAGAAGCCGAAAGGTATAAGATGCTTCTGATAGCCTGCTGCCCTTCCTGAGGCCCCGTCTCACGCTCTCTGTCATGACTGGTACGGTATCTCCCCGAGGTGACAGGGTCTGGTCTACACCTCCACCAGAAGGGCAGTGTGGAAATCCAGCTCCTGTTCTGGGAGGGCCCCTGGGATGACCACGTTGCTGCAGCAGACACAGAACCGTGACAGGCTGGGAAGCTGCCTCAGTGCCCTGCTCGGGCGAGTGTCCAGGAGGAGCCTGGAAACACCATCCTCCGTCTCATGCTTGCTCTGGGTGTTCAGAGCCTTCCTACACTGTGGGTTCAGCTCAAGTCACCAAGGCTCTTACCAGGTGGAGCTCCTGCGCCCCGAATTCCACCCTTGCTGTTCAGACGTCGCCAGACCCGGGGTGGGGGTTGTTGAGTCTCCCCGACCCCTGGCTGGTAAGATGGGCCTCCCGCTTCGCTCCTTAAGGTCCTGAGTGGGCTTGGCCGAGGTCTGAGACCCTGCAAAGAGCTGATCCCACCTCAGCAGAAAAGTGTGTGTGGGGGGGTGGGGGGTGGGGGGGCTATCTGGTCCCTGGATTCAGATGAACCTGACGCCTTCACCCGTCAGCCACAGTCATCTTGGCACGAGGCGCTTTTTTCACAAATATTTCTTCAGAAAGTTGATGTTGGAAGGCAGTCCCCTCACCTTCCACTAGGTTTCTTCTTCCCTCTGCCCCCCCACTCCCTGCTGGCCTTCCCCTCCCCTCCCTCCCCTGCATCCCTCCCCCTCCCCCCCCCCCCTCTCCCTCCCTCCCCTCCCTCTCCCCCACTCCTCTCCCCGGAGCTCCTTGCCCCCTGCCTCTCCCCCTCCAGGTCTCATCGTTGCTTTCCTTCCTGTAGGGCCTGAGCGCAGGGTCAGGTGCAAAGGTCATCGTTGCTTCCTTCCCTGGGCTTTGCTGCTTTCCCAGGACATGACCCTGGGGAGGGGGGCCTTCCCGCTTCTTCAGCTCAGTGGCACCAATGGCGCAAGCGCCCTGGCCCGCGTCACGGTGAGGGAGAGGTCTGACCCATCTGGGCTCTCTCGAAGAGCTGCATTAGGGACGTGGATCGTGAGTGCGCAGTGCGAGAGTGGGGATCCCTCCGCCATAACCGCACAGGCGCCAAAGACTGCGGGGCTTTGAGGGTCGCCCCCAGCTTCTCCTCTGATATTAATACCCCATCCCCGCCTGGGCTGCCCCTTTGCTTGGAGGCCCATCCACTGTGGGCAAGGTGGACCTGCCAGCGCCTGCAGCCTGGACCCCGCCCCGCCACTATAGAGGCTGCCACAGGTGACCAGCAGCCTGCGGGAGGGGGGTGGGGGGGGTGGAGTCAGGCTCAGTTTCTCTCAATCCGCTATCACCTGCTTTGGGAGGGCTTGCCCTTCTCAGCGCGCGACCGACCGAAGAAGAATCCTTCCGCTGGGAAGGAAAGAGCCTTAAAAGATCTTGCTGCTTCTCCCTCTTCTGTTCTCTTTGGGAGCGAGTGAGACGCGCAGAGAGAGGTAGACAGGCAGAAATGGAGACGGAGGATGGAGAGAGAGACAGAGAGAGAGAGATGGCTAGGAGGGAAGAGGGAGAGAGGGGCCCAGGCCGTCTGCAGCGCAGGCAAGCGAGCCCAGCGAAAGTAGGTGGCATAAATCCGTGCATAATCTCAGGAGACGACCACTTTAAATCTTAATTGGTTGCCTTTTAAATATCATTTAAGGGCTGGCTTCCCTGCGTCTCTCTCTAGTTAAGAAGGTGTCGTGTCAAACTCCATTACCTTTCTGGATGTCTCTCCCTTTAGTTTAAAAAAAATAAATAAAGGAAAAAAGGAAAGGAAAAGAAGAAAGAAAAAAAATGGAATCATCAGTGGCGGTTGGAGGGTCGATAAAGCTTTTAGATTTGGAGACGTTTTCTGGGAGACCATTTCCTGCGGCTAAGAGCTGTTAATGGCGCTTAAGGAATTATCTTAGCCCCGCCGGCAGGAGAGCCGTATATTTCCCGCGCCTGTTCCCCTGTCGGGTCTGGATATGCCGCTGTCAGACTCGCTTAATGAAAAGTAACGCGCCGCTGATTACAGTTTTATTTGGGCTCTATGTAAAGAGCGCCGTTAATTTAGCATCCCCTCCTTGGTGTGTTTGAATTTGCCACGCCTGAGTGGCTGAGAGCATCGGTCCCCCGCGCTCCTCTCTGACAGCCTCCCTGGGAGGAAAGTGGGCCCTCACCCCACCGACAGCGACCTTTCCCCCGCAGCGGCCACTCCTAAAATTCATTCCCGCCCCCCACCTCCCTGGCCTTGGGGTTTCCCCCGACCCCTGCTCTGAAGATCAGCCAGAGGGTGGGTAGGAGTTCCCACAGTGACCCTTCCAGAGTGAGCCCCAAAGGTCAGGGGTGTGGGTCGAAGTGACGGGCCCAGCTCTGGGGGCGTCCTTTTGGGCGAGTCGCCCCTGGGATGTGGCTGAATCCCTCCTCTGCACTTGATGTCTTTATTTCACAGTTTTTCAGTTTAATCCAATAAAACCTTTCGGTCAGCCGTTTCCACCAAGACTTGGGGGCTCCTGCAGGGTGGGATTCTGCGGGGACAGGAGGGCCTCTGCGCCCTGGCGTTGCCAGGCGCCTGCGTTCCCGAGGGCAACAGGCTAGGGCAGCAGGAGCCGTCTGGCCCGGGGAAGGGGGTATGGGGGGCCGAATCCGGGAAGGGCCCGCTCTGGAAGGATCCGGAGTCAGACGCAGCCTGGCCTGCAGCTCGCGCCCAGCCGCGCGCCCTGCCACCCGGGGCCCGCAGCCCGGGGTTCCTGGGCTTTCTGGCCCCGCAGCCCCTTTCCCGCCTAGCCAAGCCGCCTGCGTCCAAGCCTTGTTTTGCTCAAAATGCCTGGCTTTGTCTAGGGCTGGGGGGCGCAAGGCGGCAGTCCTCCGCACATTAAAATTCCTGGCGTCCCAGCCTCGGCCGCAGCGTCTCCCCCGAGACTCCACTTTCGCTATTACTGTCAAGTACCCTTGACTCTTTATTTTTGCCCTTTTATCTATTACAACTAATTCGAGTTCTTTTGCCCTTTTCAGTCTAAGACGTGGGCTTTCTTCAAAGCCTCCCCCTGCCAGCGAGCTCTCGGAGCGCGGAGCCTTTAGAAATTGAGGGGTTTACTGTCAAAATGAAAATTTCACTTCAAATTATCTTGGTGATGCTTGCTCGCCAGGCCGGGGCCTCCCGCCGCAGCCTTTTGACAGACACATCAGCGGCGAGCTTCCGAATCCCGATAATATCATCCAAGAGAGCGAAAGTCAATACTGTGACAGCGCGCGGGCGGATACAATCCAATTACCGCGCGGCCGGCGGGGCGCAGGGTCCGCGCCCGCTCTCTCCGCTCGAGGACTGGGGTTCGAGGTCCCACCACTCAGAGTCGGGGCCGCCGAGGTCCGGCCATCAGGGGCCCATCGCTCAAGGGTGCCCCTCGCCGTTCCCCTGTCCCAGGTGGTAAAGTCACCCCAACGCCCGGCCCATCGGGCCCGCTTTCCAGCGCTCCGGCCGCCCTGACCTTTCCCAGTGGACCGGGATCCACGGGGCCCCAGTCCAGTACCACCCAGCCCATCGCAAAAGAAAGCCCGGGCCTCCCATGTCCCTCGAAGGCTGCCCGCCGGCCTGCCAGGCGACTCCTGTCTTCAGCTGGCGTCTCTGCGGCTGTCAGTCTGTCCGCGTACGGACCAAAGGCCACCATCTCCTTCTCGCTGCGCTGCACCCTCGGGCCACTCCACCCTTGCAGGCTCCTGCCTGGCGGCCCGTCCTTCCTCCGGGCACCTCGGGTTCTGTGAGGCCCAGTACAGCCTTAAGCAGAGGGCTTGCAGGCTAGCGGACAGCGCTGAGTCCAGTTCACGCTCGCCTGCCGCCCTCGAGGGGCGTTTGCGCGGGCTGGGGGGCCGGGGGCAGAAGCCTGTGGGGGGTCGGGGAACTGCGCAGAATCCACCGTGGGGAGGAAGCCAGCGATTTTCCTCCAGATCAGACCTTCTGGCTGCCAGCGAGCTGGGCTCTGCCGTGGTGGGGGAACCGGGTTTCTGGGCGAAGCCAGGGGTCCGCAGGACCCTACGGGAGGCCGGGGAGGCTCACGTCCTCCCGCACCACCCCTAGGCCCTTCCTTGCAGCCCCACCTGGGGTCTTCGTCCTGCTAAGCACTTCCCTCTCCCTGAGCCGCACTCACAAGCTGCGAGCATCTCGGCAGGTCCCCGCTCCTCCCCCCCCGGAGGCGGAGTTAGGAGGCCGCAGCGTCAAGGAGGGCACCTCACTCCCGCCCAGGAGAGGCTGAGGGCAGCGACGGCCCCTCATCCCTTCCCCACCAGGGCACAGTTCCAGGGAACTTGGAAGTTTAAAGCTTATTCGTATCTAGCCAAAGAAACTTTTACTTTCTCAAAATTCTGGAGTCTGGCAATGGGAGAGAGTTGAAAAGTTTGGGGTCTCTCATCGCCTTCTATTCGGGAATTCAACAGAATCCTGTAAGTTTACTGTGACTATCTTTTTAAAACAATGGCTTTAAGTCTTGGGCTCTGCAAGCAACTCCAGTGAGGATTCTGCGTCAGCAGCCCTCCCCACTCCTGCCCCCGGGGATGGGCAGCTTTCCTCTTCCAAGTTTCCAAATCCCTAGGTTTCAAATGCGTTCATTTTGCAATGCAAACACCATCACTCGGTTTTATTGGTTTTGTTATATTAGCCTCTGAAGCAGGCAATTATCGGTGTGAACATACATTAAAAAAACATAATTTTATCGAGTTAAGAGTGTGCAATAGTGTAGACTCGGTGGCAGTGTTGTTGGTGAAAAGTACGCGCGGAGGATGGAATCGGAAGGCCAGCAGGCTGAGGAGTCTTCACGAGGAACGGCGGCAAAGCCTCAACCCAAAGCAGACAGGTACACAGACGGGCCTCGGAACGGAAACGTCTTCTGTGTGTAAACTTTTGCACGTAAACTTTTTGCTTCAGGGTGTTTCCCTGCTGCTCTGACAGCAGCCCTATCCTGCTCGGTCCCCGAGTTTGGCACGGCCGGGCGGACTCCTGTCCGGGCGCTCCGGGGGCTTGTCCGTGGCCCCGGGAGCCCGAGTTCAGATCCTCCCTCCAGGGTGGGTTGGCGACCTGAGCTTTGCCGAGCTCTTGCCTCACTTTGGAAACTCGGTAGAAAAAGAGTTGGAGCCTGCAGCCCGGGCGCCGGCTGCCTCCTCGCCCAGGCAGGCGGCCAGCTAGGCGCAGAAGGGCTTGCCGCCGGCCTTGGGCGTGGCCAGCAGCTCCTTGGCGGCGCCGGAGGCGGGGGCGTCTTGGGGCGCGGCGGGCGGGAAGGAGCGCGCCAGGGGCGTCGTCAGCACGTTGGCGCCCCCCGCCAGCGAGCGGCCCAGCGGCCCCGGGTCCAGGAGGGCGCCCTTGGCGCTGGCCCAGGCCTGGTTCAAAGTGCTGTGTCTGAGGATGGGGTCGTGGAAGACCCCGTCCACCCAGTTTCTGAGACTGGTCACCGGGGAGTCCTGGTGCCTGTCCAGGGCACCGGCGGGAGCCGGGGTCGCAGGCGAGGAGGAGGCGGGCGCCGAGGAGGGGGCCGCAGGGCCAGCGGGGCCACGGCGCTTGAGCATGCACGAGGGAAACTCAGTCTGGCCGAGGGCGGTGGCGGCGGCCGCGGTGGCCGTGTGTGCCAGGGACCAGATGCGCGGCTTGGCCTCGAGGCCCGCCGACGCCCCCGCTGGAGCAAAGCCCAGCTTGGGCTCGCAGGCCTGCGGGCCAACCCCCGCGCCCGCGCCCGCCTGGTGCTCCGGCCGAGCCGCCGTGCTCCGGAGGCAGCTCCGGGCCCTCTCCAGGTCCTGGTCCAGAGTGGCCCCACCCCCGGCGGCCAGGGGCATCCGGAGGGCGCCTGGAGCCTCCTTCCCTGGGGCGCTGGGGCCGTCTGGCACGGCGGGGACTCGATCCAGGCCTCCATCCAGGGGTTGGAAGGGCCGCTTCAGCTCGCACTCTGGGGGCTCCCCCTCCAGGGGGTCGAAGTCCTCCAAGTCGCTGAGCTCCAGATCCTTCTCTTTGTCTGTGGGCTCTGCCAGGAGATAAAGAGTGACCAGTGGAGGGAGACGGGATGGCAGGTTAAGGGAACCCCCTTCCTCACTCCAGGGACCTGGTTACGGGCCCACCCGGGAGCTAGGCAAAGCACCTGCGCCTTATTCTACCTCCCACCTCCTCAGAGGCTCCCAAACGCCTACACGGACCTAGCTGATTTCAGCCTCATATCAAAGGCGGCAGGGGCTAGTGTTTCGAGCGTGATTTTGGTCTTTGAGCGTGCTCCCAGCTCACTGCCACAGGACCCCTCGTGCACAGGGCCTCACACACCCGGGGCCAGGGCATGAATTTGCCGCCTAGGCCCAGGAGTTTGCCCCGTTCCGAAAGGAACCAGCGAGACGCCACAGGGAGGCGACACACCAGCATCGCCAACCCCCCACCCCCCACGCACCTGCACCTTTGGTGCTCTTGAGGGGCTGCGCCCTGGCTTCCTCCTCGCCCCCCTCTTCCTCCTCGCCCTCCGCGTAGGGCCGCTTCTCCTCCGCGCACTTGTTCCTCGGCGGCCACGTCATCTTGTTCTCCTTCTTGAGGCGCCGGCGCGCGTTGGCGAACCAGGTGGAGACCTGCGTGAGGGTCATCTTGGTGATGATGGCCAGCATGATCTTCTCGCCCTTGGTGGGGTAGGGGTTCTTGCGGTGCTCCTGCAGCCAGGCCTTGAGGGTGCTGGTGGTCTCGCGCGTGGCGTTCTTCCGCCGCGTGCCGCTGTCCATGGTCCCGTACCTGGAGACAGGCTGGGCAATGGGGCGCCGGCAGCGGCCCCTGCGCCGCGGGCAGGCGGCCAGCGCCAGGCCCACGCGGCTGCAGTCCCGGTCGTGGAGGTGTGTTTATGGTGGCAAGACCTGGGTTTTACCCGGGCAGGCACTGCCTTTTAATGTTTATATTTGATTAAACTTAGATGGAGCCAGAGAGGTCTCTGTGGGTGGGGGAGGAGCGCGGGCGCGAGGCCCGGCCAGGTCTCCGTCTGTCTACGTACACCTATGTCTCTTTGAGTTCCTTTATCGGGCCCCGGAAACCACACTGCAGACGGCGTGGGGGCGGGGAAGGGGAGATGGGATGCCTTTATACCCTGGCGGCAGCTTGCTAGGAGGCCGGGATGGTCCTAACCCAAGGCCAGCGGGGCGTGACCCGAGCAATGCCCCTCCTTCTGCCGCCCAAACTTTCAGTGGGGGCGTGGCGCTGGTAGGGGCGGGGCTTGGTGCTCCGTAGGGGGAGGGGCAGTGAGGAGGGGTGAGATCCCTCACCTGTCGTAGGGGTACTGGCCCAACGCCGGCTCGTAGGGGTAGTAGGCTGTGGCCGCTGCCGGAGCGAGGCCCGCATGCGCAGATCCCGGTGCGTCCTTGGAGTCGAAGCTGTTCTGTAGGAGCCGGTGAGCCTGGGGTCGCAGCTTCCCGGATGCGACCCAGCTCGAGCCCCTCCCCTAGGATCACTGGCTCCTGCCTCACTCTCACAGACCACTGGGCCGCCCCCCATCCTCCCCACCCCCATCTGCATCACCCATTCCCAGACTGCCTCGGGCCCAGGCAGCGAAGGAGCCCCAAGACGTGGAGTGAGGAGGAGCAGAGTTGGGGGGTGTTGGGGGAATACGGGACAGGAGAAGGGGGATGGGGGGAGGATAGGGGGAGGGACGGGGAGGATGGGGGGAGGGAAGGGAGGGATGGGGGAGGATGGGGGAGGGAAGGGGGAGAATGAGGGAAGGAAGGGGAGGATGGGGGAGGGAAGGGGAGGATGGGGGAGGGACGGGGAGGATGGGGGGAGGGACGGGGGGATGGGGGAGGGAAGGGGGATGGGGGAGGGAAGGGGAGGGTGGGGGAGGGAAGGGGAGGATGGGGGAGGGAAGGGGAGGCAAGGAGGTAGGGGGAGAGATGAGGGGGGAGCGACTGGGGGACAGCAGAGGAGGAGGGTGAAGGAGGGAACGGGGGTGGTGACAGGAGGGGAGGAGAGAAGTGAGGGGGAGGGAGGAAGAGGGCGACCGGGAGGAGTGAGGGACAGGGGACCCGGGGGACCCAGCAGGCTGGAGCGAGCTCCGACAGAACCAGACATCTGACCCCAACTTAACAGCAAGCAGAAAACAATAAATACATTAAATACAACGGCCCACCTGCCAGGACACCCCCACCCTGGGGATGATGGGGCTCCGCAGGACCAAGCTAGGCGGCTCAAAGCCGAAGGTGTGCTTCTCCCAACCCCCTTGCCTCCAGAGTGCGGGGAAAGTGAGTCTGGCAGATCGAGGGGTAGGGGCATGCGCGGCAGGGATTAGCTTTGACAAACACCCGCTCCCCTTACCAGCGAGTAAAAGGCAGACGCCTCAGAACCGTAGGTAACGTAGTTGCCGTAGCCCTGCGAGCCGCCGTAGGGGCCCCCATAGACGCCAAGCGCCGCCGCTGAGTTCAGCTCGTGGCGCGCGGTGGCCAGCAGCCGGCTCTCGTAGACCGGGCAGTAGACGGGCGCCTGGGCTGAGGCAGCCGGCCTGGAGTCGGCCAGCGTGCGGCCACCGGATTCGCAGCACGTGCTCAGGGAGTTGGTGGTCATCAGGAACTGTGGAGAGAGGAGCCGCGAGGAAGGGCGGGGCCCCCGGGCGCGAGGCTGCTGCCCTGGGCCTCAGTCGGCCCCACGTGCAGCCCAGGAGCGCGCACCCCGTGTCCTCGGTGCTCCCGCCATCCACAGCGGGCCGCGCGTTCCTTCCCGTGGCGAGCTTGTGCTCCTGGCCTCCTCCAGCCACATGGGGCCCAGCCCGACCTGGCCCGGAATGTTCACACCCTCCCCGGGGTGGGGGGTGTTGGTTTCCAAGGCCGCAGGGCTCACGCCCTCTTGTACACGTCTATCCTGGGTCGCTGGGCTCCCCGGGGGCGCAGCCTCAGAGCCCAGGAGGGGGTGGAGGACAAACGAAACGGGATATGGGGCCCTGCCGGTCGGATTTCCTCAGCGCCTCTGCCCTCCCCCGGGTCGGGCGCGAGGGGTACGTGTCACAGACCCTGCTCACTGCGAGGCGACAGCGAGTTGCTGGCCTAGCGGGGCCCCCTTACCTGGGGTGCCGAGGAGTAGGGGTACCCAAACTGCGGGTAGGACATGGCGGGCGCGGCCCGGGGTCGACGGGCGGGGCCGGCGGGGTCCTGCGCGAGGGGGACGGCGTGGCGCGGCCACTGCTCCGGGGCCGCCGGCTTCTAGGCGCTGGGCGGGCAAAGCAGAAGAGCGGGTTAATTCAGACACGCGCTCCGCAAACTTTTCTAACTGGGTAGGAAAGTGATCCGCGACGGACGCGGCGATCCTTTTAGCTTCACAGTCCGGAGCCTCCAGGGGTCTCTGGGACCGACCGGCCTCGCAGCGGCGACACAAATACATATTTTGCAAAAAAGGAAAAAAAAAATGAGTCGTGCGAATCCGTCAAGTCAGCGGCGCGCGGCTTTAAGCGGCGGAGGCTCTGACGTCAGCCCCACTCCGCGCAGCCCAGCCGGGCGGCAGACGCGTGGGTCGCTCGGCCGCGCAGCCCCGGGCGGAGGGCGCACGGCTGTAACAAATGAATTTCATCCGCGGAGTCAATAGCGCCCCGACGAACCGTGTTTCTCCTTAGTCACCGAGGAGGGGAGGCACTTTTAATTAGAAATTAATTAATGAGCAGCTGCTCCTTTCCCACCCCACTGTAATCATTAGTCTCAATTACAAATGAGACATATGAGGGGTCTACGAGGGCGTCTTCACCAGAGATGTAATCAACAGTTAAGATTAGCCGCGCGCTGGCGCAGCCGGCCAGCCGGCCGGCCGGGCCTCTGCTCTCCGCGCGCCCCTCCAGGTGGAAGGAAGGCAGCTCCGCGGGCCGGCGCGCGGCGAAGGAGGGCGGCGCGGGCCCCACTATTGTTTAACCGGGACTCAGCAAAGCCTCCCACCAGTTCGAACCCTACAGCGGGCTGCAATTCCAGAAGCAGCGCGGCTACCAGCGCGTCTGCATCTGGAGGCCAGAATGCCCTCAGTGTGTGGGTCTGGGCCTTCCCCAGAGCCCGCCGCCCCAGGGCTCGGTGGGCCAAGAGGGCTTGCCACTCTCGGCCGCCGTGTTCCCGGGGAACAACCCCCTCCTCGCCCAGCAAGTTCCAGCTCGGCGCACGGGCCCTCCCTTTTCTCCCCCACCCGCTCCCGCGGGCCGCCCTCCCTCAAGCCTCCCCCTGCCCCTCGCGGCTCAACCCGGGACTGCCAGACAGCCCAGCGCGGTCGGACGAGCAGCTTTCCCGACTCGGCTCCGGGGCCCCTCCTGCTGCGCTCGCTCCGCCCGGCGACCTTCGGGCCTAGGTACGGGGGAGGGGCGCCCTTCCCTGCCCAGGGCACAGGGAACAGTCTGGGGAGCGGTCAAGCGCCCACCCCTGCACTTCCCCAGCCAGTCCCGGCCCTGGGCCCTTGCCCGAGCCCAGAGTGGCGGCCAGCGCACAGGCGGTAAGGGTACGCCCGGGCCACCCGGAACCCCGGCCCGCCTCTTGCGCCGCCACCCTCCGGGGGCCGGGCTGGCCCCTGCTTCTCCCGCCCGGCCTGGCCTCCCGCGGTCGCCGGGAGGGAGCCGTGCACGGCGGCGCTGTGCTGACTTGCTGGGAAAGATTCCTGGGTTCAGACCTGTGAATCGCCCCGGGGTCACCCTCTAATTAATGACGACGTTCTCGCCCTCTCCCCAGCTGCAAGCCTGCCTCCCAGAAACGGAATCTGCCCGCTCTGACAGCTCGGTTGAAGGTGATTGATGAGTATCTAGAGACCACAGCGCACATCATATAATATCTGCTGCGTAATTGCTTTAATTTACAGATGAAAGTGCGAGTTCTCCGATCCTGTTGGACCGCAGCCGGCCACGTCCGAGCTGCTCGCAAGGAAAATCATCGGAAATAATGAATAGACGCTCCATGCAAATTATTCAGACAGCTTAGCGTCTGTAGCCGGGAGAGATATATAAAGAACACGAGTCAAATGACATTAATAATTGTTTGGGAGTTCTGTATTGATTTCGTGGCGGCCGTGTTTATTTCTTTCTCACCTGAATTGCTAATATCACCTTCCTGTAAATAATAAGAAACTAGCCACCGGGGCTTCTGGGCAGAAATGAATCTCTCAATCTCTCTCCCTCTTCCTCCTCTGCTCCTCCCCTCCCCCATTCTCCCTCCTCCCATCTCCTTCCAGTTTTCTGGCTTCTGCTGAGGCTTTTACGGAACATCCTCCTACTTTCCATTATTTGTTTACAAACAACTCACTCTCCCCCGGCAATGAGGCCGGGGGCAGGAAGGCGCGGGAGCCCAGGGTGGCTGAGGGCTCAGCAACCTCCACAGGAGGACGGCATTCAGCATCCTTTCCTCACTCCATTCCCGTGGCCGTGGCCCCGGCCCCGGCGATTGTGAGCGCTCAGCGCCGGGGAGGAAGCCACCGCCCAGGTCCCAGCGGCCAGCGCCTCGGGGCTACCGCTCGCCGCGCGTGCCTCGCCCAGGCCTGCATTCCCTTCCGTTTCCGTCCCCGGAGACTCGGGCCGCAGCTCGCGGGGAACAGTACCCCTGAACGCGCCCCATTCACCTGAGTACACGTGCTCACCCTCGGAGCCGGGTGGGCACAGCCGGTCCGTGGGGGCCTCTCGGGAAGAGGTTTCAGGGGCTGCCGTGACCATCGCTGCTACGTTCTCCGGTTTTCCTTTCCAGCCTTAGTGCGTAAATAGACACTCCCAGTTCCCGCCCGCCCGCCCGTTTCTCGCGGGCCACCTTCTTTCCATGATCTTGAAATCCCGCTCACCGGCGGCGCTTTCTCAGGGCCCTGCACCTTGATCCTCCTCTTCCTGCCCCAGGCCCAGCCCAGGCTGCGTGAGGGGCCGCCCCGCCCCCGTTTGGGGTAGCTTGGGGCTGCCGGAGGAATCGCGCGACCTTGCGGGCCGCTCACGCAGCCCCACGGAGGCCACGTTAGCCCGTCTGTCTCCAGCTGCGGGCACACCCCTGACACCCCGCTGACAACCTGTCTGCCGGAACCCGGGTACTTTCTGGGCCATCTTTGCCCCCTAGGTAATACAGGAATAACGAGCCCGTGCTCTTTCCAAAAAGGCCCAGCCTTGAGCTGAGGAACCCCGGGTTTCCTTCCCAGAGCAGACAGACAGGAGTGTCAGAATCTCAGGCACCATCAGCTACACGTACCTGCATAGACGCGGCTTATACTGAGCCCACGTCCCTCGAGGGACCCCCGGTTCTAAATACACCCGTGGGCACGACCTGCCAGAAACCACGAGGTTCCCCACGGGCAGGGCGGCGGCTAGGATTTGGTCGGGTGCCCCCACTGTCTGCTGAGCTCGAGAGGAGCCCAGGGCGAGGGGGTCTGAGGACGATTAGCCCCAAATGTTAGGGGTCCGCAGGTCCCCCCTTTTGCCCAGGGATGATGTCGGCCGTCGGAACCACGGAGAGCCTCTGGGTACAGAGGTCGCTTCCAGACCTTCCTCCGCTCCCGGCGGGGCTTCACCCCTGACACCAGCTGAGCCTCCGCGGTTTGGCCGATTCGGCCCCGGGGGCCACCGCGGTCCCCCGCATCGAGAGCCGCGGGGAGCGGGGAGAGGGGCTCTCTTCAGCCCAGAGAAGTTGACCCGAGCCAGAGGGCAGGGGCGGGAGCTCACAGCCCCGGGCAGGGGCCTTCTTATCTAAGGCGCAGGGCCGAGCCCTGGTGGCGCGCGGGCCGCCCACTGCTCGTGGACACCCGTGCGGGGTGTGGGGCTCAGGGCGTTCCAGGTGTCCGTGCGCCGCACTCGCGAACCCCGAGGGTGGCAGGTCGCTCCTTCGCAGCCTCTCCTCTGGGCTCCCCCGCGAAGCCAAGGCGCGAGCTGCAGGCGCGCGGGGTGAATCCTCCTCCCGAAACGCCCCGCATTCCGGCCCGCTCCCTCCGGCTCTCCCACCGCGGCCCCGCCGCTGGCACGCAGGGCGCTGCCCGAGCCGGGAAGGAGGGCAGCCGGGTGTCCCAGCGCAGGCGCCCGGCTCGGCGCGGCCTCCGCGCCCCGCGCCGCCCCCCGCCCCCCGTTTTCCGCCACTTGCGGCCGACGCGGCGGCCTCCAGAGACCCCACCAACGGGCAGCAAACTTTGCGCCCCCAGCGCAGCAGCAATCCTAGCAAAGTTTGCGCGGCTGAGCCCACTCCCTACCTGTGCCGGGGACGCGCCCGCCCGCGCCGCTCGGGCGCCGGGGCCGCGGGGACCAGCGCGCAGCCCGGGACGCACCGGGGAGTCGCCGCCGTCGCCGCCGCCCGCGCCCCTCGGCGGCCGCGCGGAGCCTCCGCCTCCCCCGCAGAGGGGAGGGGTCTCGGAACCCCGGGGCGGGGGCGGGCGCGGGCGCGGGGACATCGCCTACCTGCGGTGGCGCCGGGCCGCTGACGGCCGCCCGCGAGGGCTCTGCGCGGCCGCTCGGCGCGCGCGCTCCGGCGGGGAGCGGGCGACAACTAATGGAGACATCTCCAGGCGGAGCACCTGGCGAGCGAGCGGAGCGCGCCGGCGTCCCCAGGCGCCGCGGTCGTCAGCCGAGCCCGCACCGGCGTGACGTGGGCGAGCGAGCGCGCGGCTCCCACCCGGCCGCCCATTAACGCTTTCCCCCGCGGACGCCGCGCGCTCGCCAACTTTCCCCTCCGCCCGGCCGGCGCGCGGGGCGCGGGGCGCGGGAGCCCGGATGAGGGGCGCCCGGGGGCGGAGGCGAGGTGGGGGCGGGGACGCCTGGCTCGAGAGGACACCCCAGCCGGAACAGGGGAGCCTCGATTTGGCCAAACGCTCGAGGTGGCCTGGGGCTCCTCAGGAGCCCTCGGGGGCCCTCCCCGCGCCCAGGCTGCGCTGCCTGGGGCCTCCAGAGCCCGGAGCCGCGCCCGGAGACAGCGCTCCCTAGTCCCGCCTCCTTCCGCCTCCTCCCTCCTCAGTCCCTCTTGGCCGCCGTCTCCCGGTGCTGGGGATCCAACTGCGAGCCTGGCCGCTGAAGGCCTGCGAGCTACCCCTCCGAGTAGGCTCGATCCTGGCTCCCGGGCCTGCCTCCCTCGCCCTCCCTACGTGTGCCCCTTCACCCCAGTGGAGCCCACTTTTCCCGCTGGGTCCACACTGATTCCCACCTGGTCAGGCTCTCAGGGCAGCAGGCCCTGGGCGGGGCGGGAGCCTCGGTATGGGCACGAGGCTTGGGCAGGTGGAAGTGAGTGTATCAAGGTGACAGAAACTGCTTGGGGACCAGCAAGCTTGTGACCTGCCCAGGACCGGACCACCTGCCAGGGGAGCTTTTTCAGGCCTGTCCAGAGCCCTACTGGGCTGGGCCTCTGGCCTGGGAACACATGTCCACGTGGACAGCCTGTGTGCTACTGCAGCCTGAGGCTGGGAGGGAAGGCCCCGTGGTGGGCCCAGGTCTGGGCCTCCCTGACCCCTGACCCTCACTCAGGCAGCTTGGAACCCCTCGCCCTGGTGTCCTCCCCCACCCTCATCATTTCCACTTCAAAGAACCATGAACTTGTTTGTCCTGTGATTCATGGCCAGGCAATGACGGTTAAGGTTTGTCGACTTGGATGATGTCTGAGAAAGTTCCTTGCTGTCCCCCTCACCGCCCACGCCTTGTTTTCCAAAGCCCTGCAGGGACCGGAAAGGCAGTGCCTTCTGCCTGCTTCACTGCTGGTGTGCAGGGCTGTGCTGGCTTTGTCTCCAGGCGTTGCCATCTTTTCGTTTTCCCCACGGAACAGGGCTTCCACTGAGAGAGAAGGGGGGCGCCAGCCCCTGGCTTCCTGCCCTGGTGCCGGGTCCAGAGCTTCCAGTGGCTTCTGTGGGAAGGACCCAGCTGTGGCCTCTGGGCCTGCTCTGTAACAGGAGGGTGGGCCCCGTTCAGGCGGCAGACCTGTAGGCATCCACCCAGAGGTGCATGTCACTGTAGCCCACTCCCTGGGCTGAGGAAGGGTGGTTGGGGGGGGTGTCCTCTTAGTAAGGATGGGGTGGGGGGAGCCATTTGGTCCCAGCGGGAAGGGAGGGAAGGCGCAGTGCACCCTGGGGAGGGGCGGGGCTTGCCTGGGTCTCTGTCCAGTGGTCGGTGGTCGGCTCTCTTCCCCCCATCTCCTCCCTCCTGCTGTCCCTGATGCTCTGAGCAGCGCCCCGGGGCCAACAGGGACAGGCACGTCACCCTCCCCTCAGAGCTTGCCTGCACTAAGATTCTTTTCATAGCTAAGGATGAGCAAAGGCAGGTTTTGTGTTTACGACCTTGATTGGGTGATAAACTCATTTCACTTTCACCGAGGCCTTTTTAACAACAACAGCTGCGGAGTTAGGGAGCGCTGGCAGCCTGAAAGCCTCTGGTCCTGCTGGGTTTCTGTAACCCTGACCACAGCAGGCGCGTCTGGAGGCGGCACCAGCCCGGGAGTGCGGCTCCGTCGTCCTTTCCTGGGGGGCAGGGCCTCCCTTCACTGGACTCCCCCAAAGTACATAATTGGATGCTGTCAGGCCTGACCTTGCTCTGGACCCCTGACCCAGTGGCCAGAAGCATCAGTGGCCGTCCTCTGCCCCTCAGCCCTTGCCCTCGAGGGCAGGGAGCTGCCCCAGCCCTCCTGCCACATTGCCAGGCCCTCCTGGCTCTGGGGAAGTGATGGAAATACCCCTGGCAGGCGAGGTCTCTCTTTGGCATAGGCGGAGTGGTCAGTCCGAAAGCGAGTCTGCAGCCTCGGCCTCTCTGAAGGGCCGCACAGCCCACGCTGTGACCCCACTTCTGGTCGGTCCTGGCTCCCCAAGGGAGCACGTTTCAATATATCTTTTGTTCTTCCTGTTGGCAGAGCCGCTGTGAAGCACAGTCTCCGCGCCCCCAGGGCCTGGCTGGGCCTGCATCCTCCCCCCCTCGCCTGAACCTTGCTGCGACTTGCAGAGGCATCTGGGGGTTGAGAGCCCACGCTGGTGCTGACTGGGCCGGCTCCAGCACCGCCCCCGGTGCCGCCATTGCCCGGGGGCCCGGGGGTCCACGGCCTCGTTCTCCCCTGCTCCCTGGGGACCCAGGGAGGGCAAGAGGCTCTCACCCAGGCCGAGGAGGAGGCTGCAAGAACTGGTCCCGGGGAGGACAGCCTCTGAAAGACCACTGGGCCCTGCTGTCCCAAAGACACTGCTGTCCTTGGAAGGGCCCAGCCCTCGGTAACGCTCGTTGGCCCGGCTCAGCTGCAGAGCCGCGTGATGGGGCCCGGATCCCAGGGTTGCAGAATGGAGAGCAACCCCTTTCATCTTTGCCAAGGGTCCCCTGGGACCCTGTTCCCCACCGGCCCTGGGACCGCAGGGGAAGTCTTTCTCCCTTCCTTTCCCCCCTTTGAAGTGCAGCACCCGACTCGGAATTACTTCAAGCAGAATGTCAGCGTGTTTCCTTTTTGGGAGCAGCGTGGTGTCTGGGTTAGAGCCGGTGACCTGTGGCCCGGCCACTGCACGGGGTGACCTTGAGGGGACGGGTGGGCAGCGGGCGTCATGCCTCCCTGTCTCACCTCCCTTCCTCGTGAGGTTGGAAGGAGGCCAAGGCAGCAAAGTTTGGAAAGTTGTTTTTCTTTTCCCCTCACTTCAGGAATATGTGTGTCTGTGATGTTGAAATGCGTCAGCAGATTTTGGGGAGATTTCTATTATTGAAAGTGAAACGCTGTTAATCCAAACAATGTCTGTGGTCTGTATGTTTAAACTTAAAACATACTGCGCACGGCCTCAAGAATCGCCAGTGTCCCAGCCCAAGAAAGACATCCAAAGGACGGGATGTTATCTTAAATTGCAAGTAAAGGTAACAGTACACACCATCGCCCTGGAATTTGAATATTATTTTGAATTCCTTGACACAGAGTTACAAAAGAAAATCTTTAGCAGGGAGAAGAGGAACTTAAACGTGTATACTCAGTGCATGAGCTGGTATTAGCTAGTATTCATGTAAGGGACCTCCCCAAACAGTGCACATCCGATGGGGGATGGGGGAAGGACCCTCCAAGGAGGAGCCTCACTGGGCCTCCACCTGGAATTTGCACAAAGAAAAAATATATTCCCCACGGTGGAGAGAAGAGGTATAGCTGCTTCCCCGGGGCACTCATTTACGTGGGCCACTCTCTCGTAACTGTGTGCAGGAGATACTTTCACAGATAGAAGGCCACAAGATACCAAGTGACACTGGCACAGGCCACTCAGTAAATAAGGGAGAGGGCGCAGTGGAGGCGTGGCGCACTCTGGTCCCTCGGAGGAAAAGCGCATCGTGCGCCCACCTGCTCCCCTGGGTGCCTTCCGCGATTGGGCATTTCGACCTCTCCTCCACCCTCCCGGTGGGTGTTTGGGGTTCGGTGGTCTGTGGGAGGCTCCAGCCCACGCCCCCAGCAGTGCACTGCCCTTAGGAGGTTTGCAGGGTCTGGCGGGGAGGAGCGCCTCGCCCCCGCCCCGTCGAGTTTGCATTTAGCCGTCCTGGGAGAGCTGGTGTGTCCACCTCCAGGGGTGACTCGCAGGGTGTGCTGCCGTCCAAAGCCATCTGAAGGTGGTATCTCCGTCCCCCGGTGTCCAGGGAGCACTACAAATCCCGAGTTAGACCCCAGCGTAGCCGGTGGCGCCCCAGCAGTGCCCAGCGTAACGCACCGGCTTTTCATTACTGTGGCAGTAAATCGTGTGGGAATGTTCTCCAGAACTTAGCTGATGCTTATATGAAAAAAACCATTTCAGAGTATTTTTGAAATTCAATTAATTGAAGGCCCCAGATAAAAGGAACATATTCTTAATGGCTACAAAATAACCCGGAGGGAGGCAAGGAGCTGGGCCGACTTCAAAGTGCAGCAGAAACACTTAACTGTTTTACTTTAAAAGTATCGAGATCAATGACTCAGTTAAAATTTCTTATACCTTTAGCAACCTTTTCATTTTCTGTTTGAAAAATGACAGAGAGATGATTTTCTTTCCAGGGACACAGAAACTCCCGAAGAGGACCACGGCCAGCACCTGGGACAGAAGTGGGTCGGCTCTCTGGTCGGGACCCGCCACTGCATGGGGTTCAGGGCCGCCCCCCAGGCAGGGGTGTGAGCAGCCTGGGGCTGCATAACCAGGTGGCTTAGCCCACGGTCATGTATGGCCTCTCAGTTCCGGAGGCGAGAAGTCCAGGACCAAGGTGTGGGCAGGGTGGTTCC